GATCTGTTTCTTGCGCAACCGTTCCAGCATCTCAAATAAACACACCACGTTTCTCCTTCTCGTTCAGGTGGGCTTCTCAGGCGCCATGTCTCCTGTGCCAAAAACGGGGTAGGCGCAGGCAGGAATCACACTGTTGGCTTCTGCCATGTCCATCTCCTTGACGGCCTTGAAGATCACATCGCAAAGAGCTGAAGGATAAAAGCCTGAGTTGCGAGCCACTTGTGGTGTGGATGAACTGCAGAACTACGTGAAACAGCTCTGGCCACCACCTTTGAGGTTGTCTTGATCAGCCAGGGCTTTCGAATTGGAAGTCCTGATCTCTCCTCTCTCAAGCCAAAGGCGCATCCATTGGCATGTCCACAATGAAGGTCTCCTGTCTGTTCCAGCCGGCTCCAAAATTGTCTCACTGGCTGAAGATTCCATCCTCTATAGTGAGGGCCACTCCCAAGCCACGTCACGGCCTTGTTGAGTTGATGGGTAGCGAGGTCGAGACCATTCTTGATCATCTTCTTGGCTTTTTGTTTCCTCTCCATGCTCTTGGCTTTGGCCAGCTCGTCCTCTCTTCTGCCAACTGCGACTTCGACTCGATCGGACACGATGAAAAGCTCTCTTAAACATGACTGTCACAAAGTTCCGAATGCAATTGACCAAGGGAAGGTTCACAAACAAAATCATGAGGAAATATGCCGGGAGGCCGCTCCATGTATGCTCCTGTGGTCGCGGATGCACTGTCTGACACGGGGTGATACCAGTCACAGGTCATGTCCAGCAGCAAGTGTTCATTTGCTTCAGCTGAATCCATTCTTCTGAGAACTTGCGAAGCTGCATCATGTTGCGTTCTGTATCGATGACAGCTCCCATGCATCGCAAAGTGCGGACGCTCAACAACAAAAAGGAACGCCAGGTGCATCAATGGCGCGCACACCAAGAGCTACTTTTGCTCCCCCAATCACTTGTGGAAGCTCAACAAATGAGGCGGCTACCTGATCAGGCGCAGGTTCATGATCTCCTGCAAGGCATCTGGCGACGCCAAGGATTCCGTCGCGCCCAAATCAATCACTGCATGGCCAGGATACTCAACAGCCACAGCTGCAAGGGATGAGGCGATGGAGCTCCGTGGTTGAGTGGAAAAGGCGCTTTTAGGTTGCGCTGCCTTGGACGGGTTGTGGACCCGTGTGTTTGACCTAGGGTGGTCACGTTGTTCATTAAGGGTTTGAACACTTGTGTTGACAGCTTCTTTTGCTTGAACGTTGCATTGGAGCCTCGCGTCTACCAATACTGGTAGCGGAGCCCTGAACTCCAGGGCTCCCTGCCAGGGTTGGTGGTCGCGGCTGTCGTTGATCTTGGTTGCCTTCGGCATTGTTGGATTGGACAGTCACCTGGCCTCACGGCCCGCCCTAGTGTTTGGGGCAACCGGAATTCGGGAATTCGTTTGTTGCAGCAGCATGACGTCAGTGGAGCGCAAGGAACACATTGCTACATGGAACGGTGATGCAACATTGTGGCTTGACTATGTGAAGCGTGTCAGGTTGCAATACGAGAGGACGGAGCCCAAGAAGCGTTGTTTGTTGGGAGCAGAGTTGGCAAGTCGGTTGACAGGCAAAGCATGAGATGTCGAACGGAGCTTCATACCTGTTGTCTTTCCTGGAGGAGCGCCTTTGCAAGACACCTTGAGGGTTCTTCATGAAGTTGAGACGCCAGCACATCAATGACTCAGTGGGCAACTTCGTTGAGGGAGTCGTACCGGCGCCTTCAACGAGCAATGGCTCGCCAGACACAACAAGCATTGCCATCCTCCTCATTGAAGGAGACTGGCCCGGTCAGACAGACCACACCGCTGACGACTCCCAGTCGTGAACGACGTTCGGATCGCGCTACACCGCAGGCCCGTCATGAGACCTTTGCCACCTTTCCCGATGTTGAAGTGACCTCCAACCCGGTAGAGCTGGAGACGATCAGCAGGAACCTTTTGAGCCCGACGCCCCTCGGCGTAGTGATTATGCTGGATTACCACAGGATGACCAAAGGTGGACTGCCGCCGAGTGGCGGGACTGGCAACGCAATCGCTGGTCTTGGTGGGATGATATAGTTCCTCAGCTGCCCCTTGGCCTGAAGAAGAAGAAGAAGAGGTATAGTGGGAACTGTGTTCAAATACTCCCCCAAGAGTTGTTGGGTTGGTTGTTGTTGCGCCGCAGTGGTTTGCCTGCCGCTGCTCGACTCTCGGTGCTGAGCGCCATCGACAACAAGCTCGATCTGGAGACCATGGAGGCAGCGATGCGAGAGCAAGAAGAAGAGTTGCTGGTGGCCGAGTGTCATCGAGCACCTCATCTTGCCCGACCTTGACGTTCCTTTTGGGTTGAGCAGGACCCCGAATGGGGACTTTTGAATGAACCCGACATGGACGAGGTGGAAGAAGCGTCGATCTATTGGGTTTTGATGGGAGGAAACGGGTTCAGCGTGGACTTCCTGGTCACCGGATGGCAGGAGCTCACTTGGACCTGGCAGGAGGACGACGTCTATGCCCAGGACTTGGCCGGAGCCTTTTGGTCGTGGACCGAATACAAGGAGTGGTTGGACGCAGAAGACATGGCGCAATCCAACCCCCAAGAAGCAGAGAACATGTTTGCCGTTTTCGCTGCCTTCCAAGACAAGATGAGATCATTTCGAGATAGTCGAAAGTTGAACTATGCCAAACAGCATTCACGTGGTTACTACCCCCTCTCCATGTTCAAGGGCAAGTCCAAAGGGAAGGGCAAGAAAGGAAAACCTAAAGGTTCTTTTGGTTCCGCGCCTTCAGGGAAGGGATCCTCAGGCACTCAACGCCCTGCGAATCCAGAATACCGTGGATGCTTTTGGCGCAAAGCGAAGGCAAAAGGACGTCCTAGGATTTGGACCCAAGCAATCCGTTGGAGATCAATCGCTCGTGAACCTGGGGATGCAACAAATGGCTGAACCTGTCAAGATCGTTTTCCAAGACCACTCCACCTAAACATCACCGAGACACAACCTACACATGACTGAGGCACCACTTCATACACCCACAGAAACATGACCACCTACTGTATACATAAACGAGACACCACAGAAACATGAACGAGATACCACCTAAATATGACCGGGACACCACCAAAACATACCGAGACACCACCTAAACATGACCAAGACACCGGGACACCACCGCCCAGCCTCGGGGCCATGGATCCGACGGCGCCCAGCCGCCTAAAGAGTGTACAACCCCAAGCTATCGCTATTGGGGAATAAAAGACCGCACGGGCAAAAACATCACACCACAACGGAAAAAGGGTCGACCCCATAGCAACCTTGCCACCTGAAGATGTTACATGTGATTCGCAAGCCCAAGCTATCGCTTTTGAAAGCCATTGGGGGGGGCATGTGTGTCGGTCATGTTTTGGCGGCGCCTCTGCCAAAAAAGCTTGCATGTTCATGGGAGCCTTCCATGCAGCTCTCAACGCTGCCGCATGCAACAATTTAACGCATGGACATAGGCCTTCATCTTGCAGCCGAACACCGTGGCTAAGAAACGAAGCCTTAAACGCAGCCAGTTCATGGAAGGGAATCAGGAAAAGCCCTTCACGATTTATCCTGTCATCTTCAATCCTCACACGACATCATGAAGGAATCCCCCACCACTATAATACATGCGCTTGGATCAAGGAGCAAGAGATACAATGTTGAACTGGAGCTCTTTTTGGAAGAGGAAAGAGAACGATCAAAGCCGAATACGAAGTGAAGACACAGTGAACCAGCTTGCTCGAGGCCCTGAGTGGAGTGCTCTTCGGAACGTGATCCACGCCTAGAGTGAAGATGTGTGAAGCCTGTGACGCCCGAACTAACTTCACTCTCCAATGAGCAAGCCAAGCAAATCAGTACTTAGTTTTCACGACTGCAGAACAAATCTCACATAAAGATCGCACGGTGGGGTTTACAGGTCAGTTTGAGGGACAACGGACTGGTCTTGTCAACAAGAGCCAAGAACGCGGACAAAGCATAAACACACACATACACAGCAGGCTTGGAAAGTCAAATCAGGAGATTCAATTATAGAATCAGATCCTCACGCAGTGCCATGATTTGCACCTACTCATGTGGATGATGTAGGAGCATCAATGCGGCGATCACCATTGGACGCACTTACTGAATATGATGCAGAATCCATGACTCAGATGGCAGCCTTTGCTGCGTTCATTACCAAATGGTGGCAGCCATAGCACACGATGGGCAAAACGAGAACACGCAATTCACTTGCTTGCTTCCTTGCCCCCCACTAAGACCTGGGCTATCAGAGTTGTAGTATGGCCTTGTGTTAAGGGACCCCTCTGCATTGTGAATAGCTTGTCCAGGCCCAGGCATTGTTGTGTTTGAAGACTTGTTCTCAATTGGCAATGGCTGGGCATCCTCAGGCTGATGGCAGCCAGCCTGGGAAATTCTTATCTTGGGTCAGTAGTAGCAAGAAGCTACTAGGAGCAAAGGGCATCGCTACTAGGAGCAAAGGACGCTACTAGTAACAAGGGCATCGCTATTAGTAGCAAGAAGCTACTAGGAGCAAAGGGTTCTTCAAGGCAGAAGCCCCTTGCTGCGCATGAACAGAACGGTTCCTACGCGCAAAGCCCACGAAAAGCAAAGGGCCTCCGAATGGAATGATCCGAAGCAGATCTAAGTCGTTTCTCGCGATTTGATTCGAGCACGCTTCAATCATCTTTCTTTGGCCTTTGGGGTTCTGCTTTTGGTTGAATTACGGTGGAAGCCTCTCCATGTTGACTATATGACTATATATCTACTGTACGATGTGTCCAAGTGAAACCCCTTAGCCTTAAGCCTTATATGGGCCTACGTCGACTAGGACACCACACTGAAGTTCCTTGTCATGTTAGAGGCGCGCTGTGATCCTAGATCAAGATCATTCATGCATGCGTCGTTAAGGTGCAGAAACGACAACACCGTCATTGACAACATTGACACCATCCTCAAATGTTAAAGGCCTTGCATGTGCGATGTGGTGCAACTGTCGCAAACATTCCGCGCAGCGATGCTCTTCACCACGTGAGGCGGACGTCGCACAGGCTTTGCACCGCGTGGAGTTGAGAGCAAAGATGAAAAGCCCAAGTTGATCTTGGTAGACAGGAATGAACCTTTTGCCACGCTGCATGTGTCCCAATGCACAAAATGACAATGAAGTATTTGCACGCATGGCAGGTTTGCAAAAGCTGCATCAAGATGCATCAGATGCTTTGTATCTCCAGGAATTACTGGAAGTTGTCGCACTTGTTCGTGCCTCTTCCATGGGCTGTGAGATAGTGACTTAGTCAGCAAGATCTGACAGCCTTGGGCCAGCTTTAGAATTTAGATTAATTTAGAAGTCTACATCTGTCAGGTTGCAGGGCTGCTGAGAAGGCAGACCAAACCTATGTCACTTATGCCAAGCAGTTGTGGCGGTTTTAAGACTGCGCAGTTCGCAAGTCAATGTCTGCCTGTTATCTGCTGAAAGGGTCTGCTTGCAAGAAATGAAGCATCATATACAATGTCTGTATACATATAATATAGTCCCTGGCTGATTGAGCCAGTTGCTTCAGTTTGACATGTATATATAGTGAGAATCTTTACTTCAGGATCAAAAGGCAGGTCCAGCCCTGAGAAACGTTCCACCTTTAGATACCATATACTTCAGCAGGTGGGGAAATTGCGCAGGGCAAGGCAACAGTTCTTGCTAAATGCAATGCAGCTTTGAATCATGGGAGCGTTTCAAAATACATTTTGGAAGATCTGTGAAAACGACACTCTGCACAGGGTGGGCCATGGTGGCCGTGCAGAAGAACGAATTCGATTCTGCTGGCAAAGAAAACTGCTGACACTGCTCATGGATAATGACATTTGGAGAGCAAATGCTCCCAGCAAAGTCAGCATCTCTCAGCCAACAACTTCTAGGGCATGGGGCCTTGGGAGCACAGAATTTATCCGAGCTCACCAGGCAATCTTCTGAGCAACTGCAAACCAACCTTCTACCATCTGCACCCTCCATGATATTTTGGCTATTCATGCCCGTGCTTGTTTCCTGGGTTTTTGCCTCTCATATTGTTTGGCCCTATGTCAAACAAATATATGGTGGTACTACTCGTAGTCCAATGTAGTCCATTTGTTTGCCAGGTGAAAAAGAAAACGTCGTTTCCGAGGAAGTTCGAAAGGCTCTGTGGGCCGCACAGTTTTGACCACTTTGGCTCCAGAGGATGGCAGTCACCCACCTTAAAGTCCCCTCTAGATGCTCACGCGGCCACTATCACATCTCAGTCGAAATCAAGATGCCTTTATAGTCATAGTTTTCAGCTGTAGAAGTGTAAATAGAGAGTGTGATAAGAGTGTGTATACATATGCAGCATGTATATATGATGAATGTGTGTGTGTGCCACACCCTGTTCCTAAGGGTCTCCCACATGTCTGAACTCTTGCTTGCTCATTTTTTTAAAAGCAGGGGGACTGGAGCCAAACCAACAAAGCTGTGGCATGTCGGTGGATGAGTGGAGTTGTAGCTGCGTTTTTAACCACCCGTATTCTCTATGTAGAAACATTTCTTTTCATTCGACTTGTTGCCTTACCGTTTTTTCGGCCAAGGTCTAGCTGCAGTAACTTTCGTTGAACCGTTTTCTGAAATCGTGCTCCTACGAGCCCTCTCTCTCTCTCCCTCTCCCTCCCTCTCTCTCTCTCTCTGTGACCACAGCATCATCCCACTGTGGTGCGCTGCGTGATCCCTTCAGGGCGCTGTACTCGGTTTTTGTCTGGAAGCTTTTCCGGTCGAGCGTCTTGCTTGAGAATGCAGATTGACTGTGCCGAGTTTACGGACAACATCCAAAGAACAGACATCATTTCCCAAGCTCTCAATCCGTGTACAAACCAACGCCCCGCCTGCGCCAACGCCGACAATCCACACTATCCCACAGTTCTGGCCAGCGTGCCTACACCTTCTTGTTGAATACTATTCTTAAATTTTTAAGCCTGTTCCAACCTCAATGATTTCCAGAGCGCCCGCAACTCACGGTCTACGTACCACCCTCCTCTGCCTCAGACTTGCCCGCGGCATCGGGCCTCTTCGATAATGCCCCCGCCAACCGCGCCTATCCAAACACCCACTGCTCAACAAACATCACAACAGCGCCAATTCCAAGTTAGTTCCTGTCACTCAACCGCAGTACCTTTACGCCTTCCACCGCTCCAGCTCAAGCCTTTCCACCGCGACCGCCCCCGCCGCCGCCGCCACCACCACCCATCAAACCATCCCGCGTTCTCGTCGCCGACGAGACACATGACCGTGGCCGCCGCACTGGTCGCCGCCCGCCCACACCTGCCGCGCGTCTGAAATCCCACCACAACCGGCGCTCTCCACTCCCTCCGCTCCACCGCCACCATCACCTCAACCCAGGCCCAGCGTCGACCCTCTCGGCCATTTGAACCTTGTCCAGATTTCACTCAACTCTCAACACCAGCCACAGATTGGGCAATACTTGTCAAGCCAACCAAGCTCCTCACTGCAGCGGACACTTGAAGGCCTGTAGGTGATCTCCGGGGCCTTCAGCCGTTCACTCATATAGCTATAGGACGATGATGCATATAATTTCTTCGATTCCACAATTATTCGCCATCCGCGGCGATGCACCAAAGACCTCCACCCAAACATCGAAACCACCACCCAACGACTCAGCACGCGCGTGGCACCCACGCTACACGTGAAGGCAGCCCTTATCAACATTCTCACTGGCGTATCCATGCCAGCGCGCGACATGAATGAAGAGGAGACGCTCTCCTGCGCTGGCGTGGTCCGACATCATGGAGGCAAGCGTTGGATCGCTCACTGCTCGCCCCAGCATTACTTGGGCAAGCGCCGCCCTTCCACCACAGAGTTTCATATTCACTCTGCTCTTGCTGGTTCCATACACCAGCAATTTCCCTTCGCTCGTCTTCCACGCTCTGGTGGAGGGAGCGGCCGTGGAACTGTCTTGGAGGTCAAAAGCCTGTTGGAGTTCCTGTGGTTCGGCCCATCGAGCAAACATTGTTCGACGCTGAAATGGGCGTTAAGCTGACAAAGAAGAACGTCACGTTCGCCGGCCTAGTCGTCCCAGTCTAGTAGAGTCCTGCTGGCTGGAGCCAGAGCTAGTGGGGCGATGCGGCCGAGGCCACCTCAGTCCCTTGCCACAATCATGCCCCGTTGGTGTAGTAACTGCTTCCTCGATAAAAAATTGTACATAGCAAGGGGGAATCCTGCGGAAAACATAGCACGCAGAAAGCTTGGTTTTGAAACTATTCTCGCTCCGCGCGAAACACACGCAACTGTTGCGTAACTCCTCGACAATTTTCTAATCTCTCAGCCGAACTCTCCTTTGCTATTGGCACTCCACCGGCGCCGTTGCTACCAATCCTCTCACCAAAACTACAAGCTCAAGAGCCCCTTCACATCACCCACTGGATGCTTCCCTCAACTGGCCACGCATCTATCCCGTCACCTGCACCTCAAAGCCGATGGCTTGCAGTTTCCAGCTCACTTCTTCCCTCGCCTAGCCACCCACATCTTTCGACGCTTACGTCGCCGACCATGCAACACATTCACCCGTGCTTTACATGGCGCCATACTCCCACAGCGCTCCGCAAACACCCCGAGGCCAAGGCTCCTTTGAGACGACCGCAGAAGCACTCCGCTCCTGGCCAATACAGTCACCTTGACCTATATGGAATTCGCCGCGCGGCTTCCAAGCTTGAAGAGGCTGCTGCTTGTACATGCCGTCCCACTACTGATGGGCATTACATCCTCACCCTTGCCGAGATACAACTTCCACCACATCTTCGTCACCTTCTGGACGCCAACATGACCAGCATTTTCTTTCCCACCAAACATCGCTACTTTCAGACCTTCACAAAAGCCTTCACCAAATGGGCTATAAGACACACGGCCTTGTCTCCATTGCTTCAATGCCCTATAGGGAATCTTGAAAGTTTTCTGAGGCCCTCAATTGTAGCAATGGCAAAGGGCGGGAGGAAAAGCTGGCACGGTGCTCGCGAAGAAGGTCTTCGTTGAGATTGGGGGAGTGGCTGAAACAGCCTCGAAAGTAATGTTGAGGACAGAGCAGTCGAAGCTGTTGAAGTTGAGGCTCGGCATGATGTAGATGTAAGAAAACTGTGGGCAATTTGGCGCAGTGTTGGCGGAGACCGTCTCTTTTTCCCAAGAGCGTCTGCGAAGGGTTCTTCGTAATTAAAGGACCGGATAACCCCACGTATGAATCTTTGCGAATCTTAAGTTTCTAAAGCACAAAGCAGTCAGAGTCTCAATAGCTTCTACAACACGGCCTTGTCAGGAAGTGATATCAGCTTCCGACAACAGAGGGGTGGGAGAGAAGGTGCAAGAGAGTGATGTGCACGACGGATGTACGAGGTATTGTGCACACAGGTGTGCGCAGCCACAACTAGCCAACAACACCAGCGGTGGTCGCACGTCCGCAATATGGGGCATAATGAACTAAAGTTGTACTACCAAGTCGCCAGTTCTCAGCTTCCAGCTCCCCAGCTACTCCGCGTACTACAGTCGTACTACAAAGTCGCCAGTGCTCATCTTCCAGCTCCCCAGATACTCCGCGTACTCAAGTTGTACTACCAAGTCGCCAGTTCTCATCTTCCCACTCCCCAGCTACTCCGCGTACTAAAGTTGTACTACCAAGTCGCCAGTTCTCATCTCCACAGATTGCTCCGCGTACTAAAGTTGTACTAGAAACTCGCCAG